GAGTGGAACACATTATCGAGCATGGCCCGTCACACTGTTTCTCATTCATAATGCAGGCGGACTCCCTGCCTGCTCAGGACTTCTTGTGTTGTATATACATATACAGATATGTTCATATATTTGGTCTGGTCAGTTTCTTTGTATGGCTCAAACTCACATGTACAGAGTCAAAGAGTCAAAACATATTAAACAAAATTGAAAAAAAAAGTCAGTATTAAAACAGACCTGAACAAACAAGGAACACATGATAAATAAAACCCCAAACAAACATGTAAATATTAATTTTATGTCATATTTATGTTGTCAGCACTATTGGAAAACTAAAAGGATAAACAACGTGCTAACAACGAGCTGTCTTACATACATGCTGCCATTCTTTTCCAAATACATTAAACAAAAAACAATAAATGACTGGAACACCAAACATAGCTGGCAGATGGACTTTCAGGTCATTTAAAGGACTCCCTGTGCTGTTGTTAACGTTTTCACCACAGCTTAAAGTAAGTGCTGGCATTAAGAGTCATTAGTTTCAGCTTTGTAGTGAGTTATGCAGGAATATCAATAGGAATTTAAAAATTATGGGACACTTCTGGTAAATATCCATCAACCAATATACTGGTGCATTCCCAATATTTATCATTTTCCAGTACAGGCACACTGGTTTGCAGAGCGGCCCACATTCCTCCATCAGTCTTTACTCCTCACTTTATAACCAGTGTACCAGTGACCGAGCTAACCACACATACACATATGGAAACACATCAGACGCAGCATTTAAAGACTCATACGGACAGCTTTCATGTCATTTATGAACATGACTACATTTTATTTTATCATTTGGTTTTTCTTTTCACTGCCGTGGTTTCATTTTTCAAACAGCGTACATCGAAACAAGAATGAAGTAATACTCGTACATTTCTGTGTTTAACCAGATTACTAATCAGTGACAGCTGTTCACGGACACAGAGATGATAAAAGAAAAGAAAAGTTAGACATGCACAAGAGATCGGGGGACTCCTCGTCCCCGCTACTTAATGTCCTCCAGTATCAGAGCCTCTTAACCTCTTAACGTCCACCACGTCGCCGGCACCCGTCGAGACTTAGAGCTGGGTTTTGTTTTTAGCCACATGCTAAACAGCCATATTTTCAGAAACTAGAAGATGTTACATTTTGAATGAAGTGTTTCACACGTGCACAGCAGTGTTTGTGTGGCTGGATGTTGACCAAACCCAAACCTAAGGCTTGACTGGTGGATTCAAGAGGTTAAAGATCCAACATATAAATCCTATGGCTGGTTCTAGGTAACAATGTCACGGCTCTCCTCAAAGAGCTCTGTGACATTAACAGCTTAAAGAGATTGGATCAGCTGGACACCCTAACTGAGGACAAGTTGTTACTCCAATGTAACAAACAATGGAAGTTTCATAGAAACCAGCTAATGAGAACCTAACATTTCTGTGCAGGTTACAGTAAACGCCTGATTGCAAGTCAGGCGTTTTTGCCAAACACAGAATGTCAGATGTTTCTGTAACAGGCCTGAACACATGCTTGGAGAGAAAAACACACACCAGTAATCACAGCCTCTCTAAGACAAAGACAAGCCTGAATGTACTCGAAACGTTACCGTCGGGGTCTCTGAAATGCCCTGCCAGGCAGATCAGCCGGTCCTGGGCTGCCCCCTCTGAGGAAGAAGGACGGTCGGGTTAATCGTTTCAAATTCACTCAAATTCACATTTGTAAAAACAAAAAAATCTGAACAGAAAACTGTAGTTCAGCAGGAGATGTAGACCCAGAGTATTCTGAACCATATTGCACTGGCTGCCTGTGTCTTTTAGAGTTCATTTTAAAATTCTTCTGTTTGTTTTTAAATGCTTTCACAGTCTTGCCCCGCCTTACCTCTCTGAGCTTCTTCATCCCTACACACCCTGTCGGTCTCTCAGGTCAGCTGACCAGCTGCTCCTGGAGGTACCGAGAT